CTCTCTCTCTCTCTCTCTCTCTCTGTGTGTGTGTGTGTGTGTTTGTGTTTGTGTTGGAAAATTCTAAGAAGCTATATTTCTTCTAGAAATGTTTCATTCAAAGCATCCCTAAACTGTATGATTGCATGATTATACTTTTCCAAAAGTGTTTTTAGGACAGAAACTTTTTTTTAAATGTGAGAGATTGCTGGTGCTATTTAAATTTTTTTCATTTATTTATTTTTACTTATGTGTATTAGTGTTTTGCCTGAATGTATGTAAGTGCACCTGTGTCATGCAGTGCCTATGGAGTCTAGAAGAGGGCGTTGGATCCCTGGAACTGGTGTTTCAGGTGGTTATTAGTCATTATGTGGGTGCTGGGAACTGAAACCAGGTTGTTTGCAAGAGCAGTCAGTGCTCTTAACTACTGAGCCATCTCTCCAGCCCCAACTGAAACCTTTTTACATTTAATTTTAATAAATTGGCCCTCAAATTTATTGCAGGTTTGATAGAACTTAAGGGCTCATTTTTATTTTTTATTTTTTTTGAGACAGGGTTTTGTGTATCTTAGGCTAGTCTCAAATTCTGTAGCCAAGGATGACTTTGAGCCTCTGATCCTCCTGCCTCCACTGCTTGAGTGGGAGTGCTGAGATCACATACTTGTGTTAATACCTGGTTTTATGTGGTGCTGGGTAATGAACCCAAGCCTTTGTGCCTGCCAGACAAGCACTCTCTACCAACTGAGTACATCTTAACCCTTCAGATTTTTGATTTTTGAAAAATTTGTGGTAAAATATATATAAAACGAAGTTTGCCATTCTAAATATTTTTGGGGTTTTGTTTATTTGTTTTTGAGACGGTCTCCTGTAGCCTCAGGTGGCCTGGAACTTGACCAGGCAGGCTAGCCTCGATCTCAAAGAGATCTACCTGCCTCTGCCTTCTGAGTGTTGGGATTAAAGGCATGTGCCACTATGCCCCGCTCATCTAAATATTTTTGATTGTTTGGCAACTTCAAGTACATTGATATTTTTGTGTAGCCATCTCTATCATCCATCTCTAGAAATTTATCATTCCAAATTGAAATTCTACACCCATTGAACAGTAACTGCATCCCCTTCCCACCAATGCCCAGTTCTGATAATCACTGTTGTACTTTCTGTATCTGAATTTGACTATTCTAGGTGGCTCGTAGTGGAAGGAACCACGTTTGTCCTTCGAGATTTAGTTCACATTAACAGAGTAACTTCAAAGTTCACCCATGCTGTAGCATGTTCAGAACTTCTTTCCGAAGGCAGAATGTGTGGGTATGTCACATTTTGCCTAACTGTTCATCTGTCTATAGACGTTTGGATGTTGCTCCATTCTGGATGTTGGAATAACACTGTTGTAATCATTGATACACAACTGGGTTGTGCTTTTACTTCTTTTGTTTACACTAGAAGTGAAATTGCTAGATCACATTTCATTTTTTTGAGGACCTGCCACACTATCCTCCACAGTAGCTGTGTTTACAATGTCTACAATCCCACTTTTTTTTTGAGACAAGGCCTTTCTGTGTAGTGCAGCCTAGCCTGGAGCTGTCAGTTGTCCTCCCTCAGGCTCTCCAGTGCTGGAATTATAGGCCGTGTGCCACCATGCCCAGCTTTATATTCCCACATTTAAATTTTTTGTTAATAAAAGCCTGTAAAATTAGTATTTATTAAGATTTATTATTTCTTTTAGTGTATGTGTTTGGGGGGGCATGGGCTGGCAGGATGATTCAGTGGATGAAAGTGTTTGCTGCACAAAGCTCCACATTTGATCCTTGGAACCCTTGTAAAGGTTGAAGGCAAGAACCAACTCCACAAAGTTGTTCCCTGACCTCTCTGCGCATCCACATACACTTGTGTATATATACACATAATAAAAATAAATAGTTTTACAGGGACTGGAGAGATAGCTGAGTTGTTAAGAATGCTTATTGCTTTAGTTCCCAGCACCCATGTTGGGTACCTTACAGCTGCATGGAACTCCAGCTCCAGAGAATCTAGTGCTCTCTTCTAGACTCTGAGGGCACCTGTACTCATATGCACATGTCCCTCCCCCATGCATATAATTAAAAAGTAATCTTAAAAAGTAATACTTTTAACAAACATTTTATTGACTTTTTGTGCATTTCGTATAATAAAGCTTAATGAAATTTAGATTCCCTCCCCCATCCATTCCTC